GTGTTTTCTGGAGTTGAATCGTCACTGGAATATCCGGAGTTTTTAAAGGGCTTGAAGACCGCGCTCCATAGCAAGAAGGTTTTGAAGAAGCTCAGCTTCTCTTGCCATTCATTGTAATGCTGTTAGGATGCTGGAAATGCATTTTGACGGTCGAAACCCCGTGTGTGTGTTATTTTTGAACCCCGAGAAAAGCATCGTGAAGATATGTTTTCATCAAAGCTGTTGTGTATACGACGTTCAATTACGAGCATTCACACGCGATCACACAGTGGTTCAGGTCTATCGACGTTGTTCAAAGGAACTCCCGAAGAGCGCACTTGCGACAAAAAGTCTGTTGTGCAGAATGTAACATTTCGCAAAACGGTACCTTATGTTAAGGTCGCAACGCTTTTGACCTGGCAATGTATAAGCGCGTGGTGCGAACAAATACAAGAACACTAAATAAACCAATTTTCAGCTGTGTTACCTTTAACAGGTTACGATAACGAATATGTGCGGCCTTTCAGAGACGAAGCAGTGGAATTACAAGCAAACGCGTCGTGTAAAGCGGCATCAAATGCACTTTCACACATCGCGACCAGCTTTCTGTTTGGACACCAGAGCTTCCTATAGTTAAGCGCTATTTTCTGAACAGGTAGTCTCGTTACCAAAATTAGTTGGTTAGTAGCCTAGTACGAGGTTCACATCTGAGCAAATCTTTATAAATAATTTTTCTTGAGTATAGCTGTGCGCATCTACGAATTATCTGTGTGTATATGCGATAAATGCATACCACAGTCAACACACGACACCTGGAGAAGCAAGCTACAGGCGATGAGGCACGCAGGCTAAAATCTCCGGAATAATGTGCAAAAACTATTATCCATCTGTAGGTTTCTCATGCGTTCTTATTACGGCTATAACATAGAAATATTGTACCACGGACAACTTCGGGTCGTCTGTGTTTCTTACGTGCAAAAAATACGGTACATTCCAAACTCGAACTTCACCGGTATATAGAAAGCTGACGATGTAAATTTTTTTTTCTTCACTTCCGAGTTCACTTTTAAGGTTCGTGAGAACAGAATTGAGGTTCTAAAGAAACAGAAAAGAAAGCGCAATTCGACCGCGCATGCTTTCAGCGAGTAGTGAGTGCTGTGCGAGGAAGCCCACGAAACGAGGGACGTACGCCAGGAGGAGAAACCGTCCGGCTTTTTCTCGCTTTTTTTTTTTCGCCGTTCTTTGGAGCCCTCTCGCCCATCAGCGGCGGCGGCGGCCTCCATTAATTATTCAACCGTAGGCCTGACGGCACACGCGGCTGTTTGCGCTGCAGGGCCTCGGGAGTGCATGCTCCACCACCGCAAGGAAAAGGGGATTGCGTTGCCTGTAGGTCGTCTTCTCCCCGGAACGCAATCGCGTGTGCTTGCAGAGCGCCTCGTCCGGTAATTACATTGACATAGCGGCGGCCTTCCGCTGGCTCTTCTCCCCTGGCTTTCCGATCCGAAAAGCTTCCCACGACTTGCCGTCTCAACCACAGCGCGCGTCTCCTCGCCTAAACTATAGTTCCGTCACCGCTACTCTTCTTGCTCGCCGGCGTAGTTAGTAGGCTTGCTTACTCAGCCCGTCCTACTTTTCTTTTACTACGTTTTTTTCCCCCCTTCTAGCGTTCCATTGACGACGCGGGCGGTTTTTGCGTCGCGGATCGCGGTGCAAACACGAGTCCTCCCCGGATGGGATTTGGCGACGGCCGCAGCGCCCTCCCACGCCGGTTGTTTGCATCGGGCACACACACTTGGTGGCGCACTCCCGAGTGCGCGGCCCGTTAAGTGCGGGACGTCCGTCCGCGCTTGCGCATTGATACGCGCGCCAGTGGAGTTGGCGACGAGTGCGATCGGTGCGCGGCATCGGGCTAATTCGCTTCGCAATCCTCCGGGATGCCGCTGTTGGCGGCAGCACGCTCGGCTGAATCGAGGCAGCAGGGCGTACGCTTTTTTTCCCCCCGTCTTCTCGTGCATGTGTCAAATCTCGTCGTCGCCTTCGAATCAGAGGAAGAGGAGCAAGGCGGTATTCGAACATTTGAAGTACAGAAGCGAAAAGTAGAGTAAATAAGGCATCTTTTCGTCCCACAACAATAATCACCGTCTATCTTGCCTTGCTTTCCTTGTACTGCGGCCGCTGAATTTTCGATGAGGAGAAAATGTTGAGGCCCGTGTTCTTAGACCTAGGTCCACGGTAAAAAAAAACCATGAGGTCGAAATTTCCGGAGCCCTCCACTAGATCGTCTCTCGTAATCGTATATGCTAGTTTTCGGACGTTACAACCCATATTATTATTATTATTATTATTATTATTATTATTATTATTATTATTATTATTATTATTATTATTATTATTATTATTATTATTATTATTATTATTATTTACTTGCACTATCGCCGCGCACAAGGTAATTTTACGTCACGAACGATATGCGTGATATCAGCGTGACATAGCTGTCTTGATAACCATGTGGCCAGCGCCGAGTCTTCAAGAATTGAAGCGCAGGCAAGCTGAATGATTATTGTTATTGGTCAAAAAGACACCATTATTAATTGATCTTTTCTTTAGAGTAAACGTATTCATTGCCAGTTCACCTGCGCTTATCAATAACGTAGCTACTGTTTAAGAGCGATATCATCGCGGCGATAAAGATGGTGGCCAGAGCATGGTTTTAGATTCGCCACCAGCTGAAGGAGTTGTGTGTGTTGAGGGTGAACAGTATGTCCGACGAAGCTGGAATCAGAAACCGAAATATGGTATACACGTTGTTGTTGTTTTTTTTTTTGACACCAGAGTCTAGGCATTGCGCCACAAATAACATGTTCAGCAAACTTACGCACCAACTCGCACAGGAACAAGTTCTTATTGTGACAGGAGATGTAAGACCCCTTAATATAAGCGTACGGCCGTCGTGCGAATGCAACGTCCAACGAACGACGCAATCATGTGCTGTGCTGATCCTGGGAATGTAATGAAAATAAGCCACGTGCACGTTCGCTTCCGAAACTAATCTCTCATCCGTTCTTTTATTGTCAGACTACCTGCCTTGCATCTGTGGTGATGAGCCATGCTCCCTTTTGCGCTGTAGAAAAAAAAACACACACACACACCTTTGTTTTCCTAACAGCAACCACTACTCTTTACTGCCCCTCTCAACTTTTACCTTCAGGATAGTTTGGCACGAAACAACGACGCGAAGACTCCTCTTGTTCCTGTATTAAAAATAAAATAAGATCTTGTACAAATCCGCCGGTCATACAGGTAGAACGATGCAAAGAATTTGACAATCTACTTATTTTGTTGTCTATTCACCGCTAAAAGTATCTTACGTGAGGTCCTCCTTGGTTGACCGTCAGACACCTTTCTTATTTCTTCTCCTTAACGTTTTGAAAGGGTGTCGAGTGAACATGAAAATTTTCTTTTAAACTACTCTCTGCATGCGAACGCGTTCAAACTGTTGGCTCATCATCAGCTTCGGAGTACTGGAGGCGATAGTGAAGTGCATGCGTATCGTTTCTCGGCCTTCGGTTATCGATAAGTCTCCTCCATCAGGCTGTGCACGTGAGTGTAACTGTATGTAATGTTGCAACAAATAGAACACGTAATTTGAACGCTTGACCTCCGTTTACGTGGCTTGACACGGTGGGGCGTAAAAAGTGAGACATATATTCTTATAGAGGCATCAGAACGATACGGTATTCACGAACTTTCGCTCGAAATTTAAACGTGAAGCTTGGCGAAAGTGAAATTTTTGAAATCGTGTGGTTTTGACTAGGCATAATTTGATATACTCTGGAAAACGTGGCTCAGACAAAAAGTGAAAAAGTCGACTTTGCAGTATGAGTGGGTATGAGCCATGTTTGTGGATTCATCATCATCATCATCATCATCATCATCATCATCATCATCATCATCATCGGAGATGTGGCCTCCTGCAGGCTCATTACTGTTAAACGTAACAATATTATTTGAAATAACATAGACAGAAAACCATGCATGCATGCTCGCTGAATTACCTGAAAAATCATATAACCAGAAAACATTGCTCAAACTAGACTTCGTGGGCGTCGACGCTTCTTTAAGTTGACGCCTCATACTATATATATATATATATATATATATATATATATATATATATATATATATATATATATATATATATATATATATATATATATATATATATATATATATATATATATATATGTATATATATATATGTATATATATTTATATATTTATATATATATATATATATATATATATATATCGCTCTCTTATTTTTTGTTTACGGCAGTCCTACGTTTGAAGGCTGTGGCAGAGTGTTGAATGTTAAGCCTCAAAAAACGAACTCCCTAATGTATGCTGCGTGCCTGTTTCTTTTTATATTTTTACTTATTTATTTATTCAACACTGCGGACTCATGGTCCATGCAGTGGGGTTAGTACTGTAGCGACCTGACGGCGTCTGACGTGCCGTCGTCGCTGGTTTGATGAAAGGACGACTCAGGGAGGAAGCGAGCTGCCGAAGTAGAGCGGTGGCCGTGGCGTCCAGCCAGCCAGAAGCGACCAACGCGCCTCGCGCCACTGCAGTGCTCGTCATCTTTTTCTCTATAACCAGCTGGCCGCCGCTAGCGCTACACTACAATACAATTACAGACACAAAAGGAACAACGACACAAAAGCAATACAAGGTGATGAACGTTATTAGGCAACTTGATCACAGGTATAGGTAAGGGAGTTACATTCGCTAACGGTTGCCGCAAAGTATGAAAATATGAAAACTTCAATTCGCGCTGGCTGCATGTCCGTGCAAACATGCCTTTCGCTACTCCCGATTGATATTTTTCACCCAGCATTTTCCTAAATATTACAGGGGGGCACTTAACGACATGCTGTTTTTGTGCGTTCTGCAGCAGAGCTGTACCTTTGGATGTGTATTCCAAGTGTGTGACCTGTCCCCGCTGTCCCTCTCGTTCACAGATGCACGGTTACGACACGGGTGACCCCGGCTGCATGGGCGTACTACCGCTGGGCGCCGGCGGCCACTACCTGTGCCCGGACGACGGTCTAGGCGCGCCGCCCAGCAACCTATCGTCGCACCACTCCAGCCACTTACCCGGCACGCCCTCCGAACTGTCCAGCCCCACGAGCGAATGACCTCCGGGGCCCTCCCCGAGGGGTCGTCCGAGGACGCGAAAGCAGGACCGCGCGCCGCGGCCTTAAAAGACCTGCACCGCCGCGAAGACGTCCGCCGCGCCAGTGTACATATGTACTGCAGTGAAGCCGAGGCACAGAGTGCGGTGGCCCTATACGCCAGGAGAACACCGCCTCGAAAGAGAGGCGCGACAAGCGGTTGCAGCCTGGTGTGTGCCCTGGCTCCTGACGCAGAGACGAGCAGTCTTACGACAGTGCCCGCCGTTCTCGCAGGAGAACAAGAAGTTGACGAAGCGGAGGAGCCAATCGAGGCCAACTAGCCACTACAGGGGAGGGCTTCGATGGTCGTTTTATACGTGTAGGCCGCACGTGGGGACGAGGCACGTGGAAAACCGGGCTTGCGTTTGCGTCGACTTTGCGTGTGCGTCGACCAGACTATGTTTGTTTCATGTCAGCGACACCCATCTCACTGAGCTAACTATCCGAGGTAGTAAATTCCAGGGCGACGATATGTCAAATGAGTGACACCCAACGGAAAGAGGGAGAATTCGCTTGCAACTGGAGCAGCGTCCTCAAATCACGCATGCGGTTTTTCTCGTGATGGAAGATTTACGAACAGTTTTCAGTCACCTCGCTAAAGCGAAGAAACGGGCAGTACCGATGGAAGCTAATCAAAGCCGCATAGTCGAACCTGAAAAGTTCGACAAAGAAAGATAGTAAAACAATTATCGGGGCTTGGCGCCCCGAAACGTAATTTGGTTTTGAAGGACGCCGTAGTGAAAGGTTCTGGAAATTTCGCCCACCTGTGATCCTTTAACGTGCACCTAAATTCGAGTACACGGGCGTCTAGCATTATCACCTGCACAGAAATGCGCTCGCCGCGGCCGAGAATCAATCGAGCTACTTATAAGAGTCAGCAGCCGCTGCACAACCGCGACGGCTGAGAAAAGCAAGAAAAAGCTTAAATAAACACACGGCCAAATTCAAGACTGTGTATAACGTTCAATACACGGATGACGCCAAGAGTGTTTACCGGCTGTGAAGAATAGCAACATCAGCAACGGGTTTCCCAGTAAACTATACTTGTACATCACCGGCTGCATCACCGGTTCGAGCAGGCATACAACTGTGTAGCCTCCACTCGCACAACTACATTAGCACGGCACGAGTCAAGTGAAGACCAGCGATGTCGACAAAGCGCGTGGAAGAAGAAGAAAAACAAAGGTGCCATACCGATTCCGGATACATGAGGCTGTGTGCGTCTTAGCTCCGCGATCGTGGGCGGTCAGCGATATCGATGTGTTCCGAGAGCGATCGACCGCATCCGTTCATCGCGACGTAACTCCTTTTAAACGTCGTTTATGCTGCCCAACACCCTCCCCAACCCGCTGGTCGTGTGGATCCCTATATTTATTGTCCAGCAGTGACGATCGCTCCTTCATGAGGCGGCCTTCAAGTTGGGCCACCAGAACTCACTGACCGCAACTTGTCACGAAGCTCTACACCGGACTGTGACCATGCAAAAGTTGAGAAAAAAAAATGTTTGTTTAATCGCTTCTAGTCTCTCTGTCATCTAATAAGATGAGGGGGGAGTCTTGACTTTACGAACTTCGTTGAAGAAGTGAAAAAAATAGCAAGGACTGTACCAAGCTTATAGCCCATCTCAATTGTGTTCAGCGCCTTATCCGTGTTTTTTTTTTCATCACAATTTCATTCTAATGTCATTGTTTTGCCTGCCTTCGATGCAAGGTTGGGATTTGTGAAAGCTTGAGTCTTGTTTACGTTTGATGAGACTGTTGTATATTTTTTTACGGCTCCTGGCAAGAACACTTATGTTGTTCTGCTTGTTTTTTTTTTCCCCTAGATATGTGCGCATAAGGCTGCAATATACGGGCTCATAAAGTCCAAATAAGATGTTCACTGTTTCGGCAAGTGTTTGCTTGTTCAGAAAAAAAATGTGTTTGTGTACTTCGTAAAAACAATTAACTCGAGCAGACTTGTGTCGACGACTCACGCAGTAGCTGCATTGTTTCATGCTTGAATGAGACTTGAATTTCGAGATGCGAGCTGTGTCTGTCGGCAAATTATACTTACGCGCCTTTTAACTCGATCATATACGCCATTCTATTTCGAACGAGGCAAAAAATCTAGTCCCACACACAAAGGGCCCAGCTACTTGCTGGACAGTACACGGTCATCTGCTCACATTATCCAATACATTGCTGTAGTGACAATAGCAGAAAAACAAGACAACATATTCAGTTTGTTAATAGTTTTCTTTTTTTTGGCACGAGTTTGTGTAAGTAATAACAGTGATTTTGGCGGCGCTTGTGACTGAAGATTTTATGCGAGATTTAAGCTACAAAATTAGGATGTCTTTCTTCCATTACCCTGCGCCTTGCATGAGTGCATTGAAGGCTCGTGAATTGTTTTGTTTTGTGCCGCGTTGCTTAAAGCTCTGTATATAGTGATGCATCGAGACACGAGGTGTCTCAGAATGATGTGAAGAATAAAATACACATGCTCTGACCATGAATCTTTTTTGTCAGAAAAAAAAAATCAAAGCTCAAACTTATTGGTTGCTTCTACGAGCAACCATTACTGCATGTTCTCTTTTATTGTTTCCTTACTTGCATGTTCGTCTTATTGTAGTGTAGTATAGTTGAGTGTGGAAGCAGTCCACATCTTCTAAGGGAAGAACACCTGCAAGAAACTGACTAAAAGCTTATGCTAGGGTAAATATGCTGAACCACGATACATTTACGTCGAAAAACTTCTTTGGGTCTGCTGGAATTATCGAAAACATTAGAGACAGCCTACTCCGAGCGCTGACAGGCCAGAACAACAAATAGTGGAGGCCATGGATAAGACATCTCTGCGACTTGATGCCGTCTCAACTTGACAAGAAAAGGCTGAAAAAAAAATTGCGTAACATTGTATTTTGTCCAGTCGAGCACTGTATCAGCTAGAGCACTCGAGGAATTTGTGTATAGGAACATTCGAAAAAGCAAACGTAATTTAATGCGCAAAAAAGCAAGAAGACGTATTCTAGCACCCACGCAACTTTGCCGTCGAGCTTAAAATTTTGTGCTGCGTTGTAGTACTGGCATACCGTCACATACGCAGAAAGACATGTAGGTTAGACGTGATGTAACACATCAGACAACACGTTCATGGGTTCGTACTTTGGTGAGTTGATAAGGATTCATTTAGAAGGCTTTTACAGCGCATACAAGATTAGCAAACAGGACAGTAAAAGCGGATGCAAAATACACTGCCTGTCTTGTGTTATGCGCTGTCAATATTTTTTTAAAAGAGTGTGCTGCCCACGGTTCAAAACGAAACTGTGCCTTTCGCCGTCATCTGGCTGAACGCAGATCGCAACACTGGGGCAGCTACGTCACCAGGATGTGACAGGGAGATCTTGGGTTGAGTGGAGCTGAGTGCAGCTGCTGGTCCTGCGCCACTGCCTTTTACGGCTAGGGCTATGTAACCGAACTATATAACCAAAATACGTAACTGAAAAAGAAGTGTAATGCGGCTGTTGTAACTGCTCTACTAAATTAAATAACGTTGGATTGCAAGTTCTGTCATTATCTAGCAGGATCGAAGGTGTGCTTAGACTTCGTCGAGCTCTGCCTTCCCAAACCTGAACACAGACAACAAACGACACTTTGTGTTCTTTATTCATCAGATACCCCGCAGCACCCGAAGGCGTTATAGCAGGGGGGGTTACATCAATAAATGACGTACATCTCCGTTCACCGACACAATACAACTTTGTTCACTCATAAATAACTGAAATACATTTTCGTTCACACACAGAGTAGAATTTTGTTCACACATAATATATCTTCGTTCAGGTTACAACACGGGTTTACAGCAGTGAATAAAATATATCTTCGTTCCCACTATGTACTTGCATTTCAGTTAGCCTGTTCCACTGTTTAATTGTTCTAGGAAAAAATGAATTGGCATACATGTTCGTTTTAGCTGGGTATTCCCGAATTTTGCAACTATGATCAAAACGTTTTGAAGTGTAATGAGGATTGTGTAGGTATATTTCTCTATTAATTCCAGTTTTATTGTAGTAAATGCAGTAAAGAAATTTTAATCTCTGCTTCTGGCGGCGGTCAGAAAGACACTCCCATCCTAGCTCAGCCTTCATTGCAGTGCAGCTCTCCCTCCTTCCGTACCGTCCCAAGACGAACCTGGCAGCACGATTTTGTAATTGTTCCAGAGCAGCAATGAAGGTTACCTCGGCGGGGTCCCACACGACACAACCGTATTCTAAGATAGGTCTGATACAAGTAGTGTATGCCATACGTTTGCAATGTGCTCTCTTCACGTCAGCTGTTCTGTCTTCACTATGAGAAAGCACACTCCGAACGCCCACAAATCCGTGTAGCTCTCGGAGTTTTAAGGCACATTCTGCTAAGCCGTCATCTTGTTTTAGACCTCGTAATACTTTTCTGCATTGTATTTGTCGTTTATGTTATTTTCGCGAAGCTGTCTTTAGGGGCTTGAGAAAATTCAAATGGTGAGGAGGCTTAATATTACCGCTACCCGATGAGCACATCATTGGCGATCTACGGTAAGTAGTGCTACTCCTGCAGGCTGCTGCTCTACCACTCGGGCATCTGTACCGGTTGCTGTCGAAATATGCAATGCCCTTGGCACAAGACCCACTAAACTAGGTGCGATTAATCATCATAAGCGACGCAACCAATTTGGACTGGTTGAATTCTACCTCGAAACGCCATATTGACTGCAGGAGAAAGCTTAAATATTGTAAATATAAAATTACAAAGAAGAAACATGCTTTAATGCATGTTCGAGCGTTTGTTTCTGTGCGTGTCTATATGTCGCAAAAAGTTCGGTTAGGGAGGGCCTAAAAACCCCAAATTACACTTCTGGCTACTTCACTGTTTGGAGCTTCAACAAAGAATTCGATTCACGGGCGGTGCAAATCGAGAGACAGGGGCAGAGGGAGGGGGGACAGTGAAGCCTAGCGCTAAGGTACCAAGCGCAGCTGGAGGCATATATTTAAATTAATACATTTCTTCTTCGTATGCCTTGCAGAACTTATCAATGCCACCAATCACCTCCGTTCTAATAATAATAATAATAATAATAACAATAATAATAATAGCTATCCTCCATTCTGTCAGGCTTGTTTAAAAATGGCCACCGGCTAGGAACATCGCGATAGACATCTATTTATGAAGGACAGCGAGACCACGTCTGCGACTGCAGTGTTCAGGGTGAATAAATCAGGGGATGAACACAGAAGGTCAGCGTTGTATAAGGTTGTGCCACATCTATCCGTACATCAAGCATCGGGGTGTGCCCCAACCGCGGCAGTCCCATAATTCTGTTGTCGCGTGGTCACTTGGCTGCCTTTTATACGACTGGCGGCGCGATCACCACAAACGATAACCATCTTGAGCCAAGCCACCGATACTGTCGCTTTCGAAAGGCATCGAAATATACTGACTCGACTCGTCGGCGCTGCGCCTTACGAATGCTGTCCAACGGCGTCTGGGCATTCTGATGACCCTATTATACCAACCGGCTGCTTGATGGACAGCGTTGTGTACCTGTTTTTCCAAGCGACCTCCCTGAAATTTAGTCCCCTCGCCTGTGCCCCCCCCCCACCTCTTACCCCACACGCTATATGTGGCCAACAATCCACAGCTGATTCGGAAACAGATGGTTTTCGACGATCGAAAACTACAACGCATTTTATTAGGCTGTGGGGGAAGCCAAAATTTGTGTTGTATGTATGCAGAGGGGATGTGAGGCTACAGGAATAGGATGGAGTCTCCGTAAACTAAAGAAAAGAAAAACAAACAAACGCTTATCTGCAATATCTAAAAGAAAAGAAAACTCATGGCGGCGATATCAACTGGGAGTACAGAAGCAAATAGAAGTGCTAATAGAAGCAGAAATTGAGCAGCCGCGAACTAATACAAAAAGTGAGACGAAAAAGCAACGCAGCTTGAGAAAGTTATGCGACAGCTATCCAATATCAACGAAGGGTGCTTGTTCGGAGGCTTTTTTGTCGAGGCC